AGAGAAAATAGGTAGAAGACTGATAATTAAGGTAGGGCTATCTAAGGGGAGAGTAATACCGGTACCGCACTGTACCAGTCCGAATTGGGAGTAGCGGTGGGGGATTTGGTTAAAGGGTAAGGGGACAGGGAGTGTACCATACAATTTACCTATAGTATCGGTCCAGTTGGTACCTTAAGGTACCGAACCGATACCCTTAAGTTTTTTTAAAAAAATGTGACCGTTTTTGCACCATTAGCCAACGGTTATTTTTAAATGATAGTCGTTGGCAACGTCCAAAAAACAACTATTTTTGCCTCCCTAGCTTCCTAACACCCCCTACCCCCGAATTTATATTTTTTAACCTCTAAGTTTGTTCAAATATACTTTGGCCCTATTTTAAAACTATAAATACCTAATTTCATTCTTTCATTGTTCACACAAAACTCCCATATCCTGTTAATTCTCTATCTCTTTCTATCTCTAATTGCAATTAACGTTCTAACACTCATATATTTTCACATTTATTTTTATTATACTTGTGTTGCTATTTGTTGTAATTTAATTATTTATTATTAAAAATGGCTCCTAAACGAATAAAAAAATATTTACTAGATTGACTGAGGATAATGCTAATGAGGGGTGTCCTCGGTTTGAAACAAATTCTAACCATTCCGGATTTAGACGTCACATACAAAAAATATATAATTTTGCTTTCAAGGTTTTCCTAGAACAATTGTTAGAAATAATATTTGCGATGATGAAGGAAATGAAGACTTGCTGAAATATTGGAAGAGAAGAAACTTTGGCCTTTCAGAAATAATTCAAGAAGACAACGATACCTATAGTGAAATACTATCTACCGAAGACAGCATGGATGCAGAATAATAAGTGATATCAATTTCAAGCAAAGAACCAATAGAAATTAATAAAAAATTTCGTAAATTGTTCAAAAAAAAAAACATGTAATTTTATTTTTATAAGTATTGAAATAAAAGTAATGATTTTTCTCATCCATTAAAGTTTGTTTGTATTTAAATATATATTTTTTTAAACTTTAATTTAAAAATACCTCTAAGCACTCGTACCGCATCCTTAAGTACCCTCCTCTTAAGACTGATAGGGGTACTGGTAAGGTACCAGTAAAAGTACCCTTAACACGTACCCTTAAATCTCCTTAACCAAAGTACCCTTAAGGAACCCCCTCCCCTCTTACTGGTACCCTCTTCGTACCCTTAACCCTTAAGAACTCAGTACCCTCCTCTTAGACAGCTCTACATAAAGGTCATTGGAAGCCACAAAAAGGGAATGATCATTAAAAGTTACGAATATGAAAAGAAATCAGTTGAATCCCTGATTGTGCGCGATTGGTTATTATTGCTTTAACTGTTACAAATTACCCATGTAATGGGTAATTAATGTAATAAATACTAATAACGGGTAAGAATTAAACAGGGCAAACAGTTACAAATTGTACCATTATATAAATTCCCTTTCCATATCTGTTATAAATCTGGATTGCTGTAATAAATAATTAAACTATTAAACTTTCTGAAATATATAAACAAAACATAAAGTTAGTAATACTTGTTTAACAAAATAAATTCTAGAAAAACAGTATAGGAATAAATCGAGCCCACTGAATATACAGTGTGTCCTTAAGAAAATTATTCCCCTCAAGTACCCGAGCTGCTGGAATATATCCTCCCAGGATAAAATAATTTAACTCACCGGAGTGTTGGTACCAAAACCGTCGGTGAACAGCGAGTTGCGGGCATGGGTTGCTGAAAAGGTTTGCAACCTTTTAGAAACAGCCATGGCTGTTGGAACAGGTTGTTTGAAATATTGCGGAAAACGGATTTAAAATAATCCGGGAAAGAAAACGGGCCTGACGTCATGGGTTATTCCGGATTGAATTTTTCGTTAATTAATTAATTAAATAATTGAAAGGAATTTTGTCCAAAAAGATTAATCAAGACGACGACGCAAGTAGGGCTGCTTATCGGGCGAATTCGGCGGTTATTTACTCTTAACGGTTTGGCTTATCGGTTATCGGCTTTTAAATGTATTAATCCGCTAGCCACCCGATAAGATATCGGGCGGATTGGTATCGATTTAGCTCTTATCGGGCGGTTTATCGGATTGTTTGCTGACCATTGTGACTCAAAATAAAATTTCTATGCTCAANCCGTTAAGAAAATTGAATAATCCGCCCCCAAACCGATAAGCCGTTAATAAAAAAAATTCAATCCTTTCCCCGTCAACCGTTAAACCGATACCAATAAGCCATTAAGCTTCGGTTTCGGTTCGGTTTTGAACACTCTTAGGCGCGAGGCTTGCCTTCTTTTTAACTCTTTAAGAGCTACAAGAAGAGCAATTATATATATACCCATCAAAAGTCTTTTCTTCCTCCAATATGGGACAATGTCCATTTGCCAAGGAGGAAAACTCAAATGTTTTATTTTCCCTCCATTTCTCATTCACCATCTTTAACCTATACAAGCTTAAAATCCCAACAATATCTTGTATCCCCATCGAAAATCTAAGAAGTTATACTATCAGTTGTCAATATTCTTATTATTCTCTGTCATTGGAATATTTTGTTCTTTCCTATTGAAAGAAAGCAACAATCATTAATAAGATTTCTATTTTCTTATTCTTTTAGTATTACTTTTTATCATTGTTTATTTTTTTTATATTTTGAAAAGTGAAGATTAGTTGTTAGAAACCCAAATTATTCGTTTATTTATTTTGACCACATAAACTTTTTTTAAGTTAAACAGTCATTTCTCTTGAATACCGTAGAAGAAGATGTTAGGAAAGAAAAGATTACTGGACCGACAGCTGAATGCTAGAAACTAGACGCTATTCTTGATGAAAATAGAAAATAGCTTGTATATTTTTGGAAACAGACAGAAAAACAAGTTAATCTTGTTGAACAGTTAGTGCAGCTAGTTCCTTTAGCCTCCTGAAATGCAATGGGATGCTAAACTGAAAATAATTTTGCATTTTCCTTGATAAAATAATTTTCGTTGTTTGGTATAAATGTATTTTTTAAGGGAAAATGTTCATTGAATGGGGAGTATAACTTGTGCTATTGGTTAAGTCTTTTTCCTCCACAATGATATCGATGTAAGGGCAAATATCACTTTTAGCCCATAGTCGAAATTATTGATATACTATAGTCGTAAATGTATATAAAATTTATATATTTTATGTATATAACATACAAAAATTTATATATATAAAAAATAAAAATAAAAATTGTTATTATTTTAAAAATAACTATATAATATCATTTTTCCGAATTTTTGAACACTTATGCGGGCTAAGTAAATCAATGGGGTCTTGGTTATGGGCAATCTGCTTTTTTTTTCCCCTTCTTCTATACAAAAGCAATGTGAAGAATTCTTGGAGGGAGGGAGCCAATGGTCTATCGGAAACAGTCTCTCTATCCCAGGGTAGGAGTAAAGTCTGCGTACACACTACCCTCCTCAGACCCCACTAGTGGGATTATACTGGGTTGTTGTTGTTGTTATTATTATACAAGTCTCACATCACCCTCCCCAGACCCCACTAGTGAGATTATACTGGGTTGTTATTGTTGTTGTTGTTATACGATTCTCAAAATACATGCATCAAGACTTTACACAAAGTTATGACTTCTATTCCTAATTGGAGGGTGAATGTCATGCAATTTCGTAGTTTAAATATATTAGAGTAATTTCCTTGGATTGTCATCCAAATTTATGGGAATATCCTCTTTCTATTCCTTTTTTTTTTTTTTTTTTTTACTAAACTCATTAAATTTTTAATAAATTGTGTGACCTTTCAAGAAAAAGATACATGACTTTCTCCAGAGAATATATTTCACTCCTTTCTTTTTTTATTTATGTATTGTCGGTGACAAGTTCCACTATGGTTCATGTATTTGCATACATATTAAGAACTATTTGACTAAACCTCAATATTTTATAGCATGTAGTCATAGACTATATTCCACATGAGAGAAAATAAGAGTTGCAAGCACGTCTACCACTTACCTCTTCGTTATAGAATGATTCATCCCTTTCTCCAATTTTTATACTATTTTCTCCAATTGCTCCATAATTATATTTTTTTTTCCTCACAACTCCATAATTATTTAGATGGTTTATAAAGATTTATTCACATGCCTCATTGCTCAACTCCCGACAACCGTAACTACCCTCTTATATGAAATAGGCACTTGTCTGATAATTCCTACTTTGTTCTTTTCTTTTTTCTATTTTAATTCTTAGTTTTTTTTCCCTGTACTTTTGAATGAAATTTGCATATAATCCAACTTTTCATTAGAAAAATAATCATAATTTCAACAGAAAATTAGTGGTAAAAGTCTTGGCAGCCTAATTGCGCCTTAATAGTTATTTTAATTCTTGGTAATGTTTTGTATTGCCTTTAATTGCATCTTAATAAATTCTTTGTTTCTAAAATTATCTCAGAAATTGAGCAAATTGGTTGTGAATAACTCATTTTTTTAGTTAGCTTGTGGGCCAAATCACAGGCTAATAAAAATATCACATCTATTTAACTAATTAATAATCAACTAAATTCCAGCTTATCTCTAATTTTAAAGCTAATCCAAACTTATCGTAAATTATCAAAAACCGCCCCACTAATTCAAATTCCTTCAATCCAAGCGGACTTGCTATCATTCTCTTAAAAATCCCCTTTTTCTGATTAAGAAGTTGATTATCAAATTGTAAGAACTAAATCGAAGACAAATTCTCTATTTTCTTTTGTCTTTTTTAACCCATCAAATCTAATTTTGAATTCTTATTGACCTTAGCAATACAGCCTTTGAGTTCAAGGAAGCATCCAATGGACCAGCTCATTCGTGTGTACAGGACTAATATATTTTTGATGCAATTGAAAAATATATATATATAATAATAGAAATATTAATTTACATTAAATATGCATAAAACCATGTATTACTATAATCTCACTACCATATAATGCATGCCTCATTGTACATTTTCAAGAAAAGCTCAGAACTTCATGGCCAATTCTGAAACCATTTTCAGCAAAAGGGTGTTCTTTGTTTGATTGTATTTTGATCAGACGGCCAAGATTTGATTTTGTTCTTTAGATAAATCAGATTTCTTTTTGTAAATAGAAAAGAAGAAGATTTAAGGAGGGAACAGTTTCAAACTGCCTTCAGTATTAGCTTTGCCTTCAACTATTCAAATTCAAAAATCTGTGACTGTTAAAAGGTAACATAAAGAAATGGTTAACCGTTTGCTTTTTTGTTCAGTACCGTTAGCTTTAAATGTTTAAATTTCAGTTTTTATCTTCATATTCAAGACTGCTTTTGTATACAAACTTTGCTGCATATTCAGAGACTTATTTAAAGTTGCAGTTAACAATGACACATGCTATTTTTCTTTTGCTTTTGTCCAAAAAGAGTATAAAACATTGTACTTTATCTTTTTGCTGTAGATTCTGTTATTTTTAATTTCAGTTTAGTTCCCGGGTAGTTAAAAAGCTTTTGGATTTGAAAGAAGACATCAATTTTCTTGAAACTTTTGCTTGCAAATCTTGAAACAACTTGTGGCATTTTGTTGATTGTTTTGCAGATTTGACCAGAGAATTTACAGCAAGAGAGTCTCAAAATGGAAAATATTTCAAGTCCTGATGAAAGTCCTGATGTGGGATATGGATATCAACCATCACCATCTTCTGTGGATGATCAATCACCTACTGAAACAACAGGTTTTTCGACGTTGAGTGGCTATTCTTTTGCCTATTGCAGAACAAACTCAGAGACCTCAGCCTTTTCAGAACATACAGATGAAAATAGTTGGTCTGAGACAGGATCTCCTATGAGCTCGCGAGGCATGAAATCTCCCACTCGTGCTGTTCTTTCGAGACTAGGAATGAGGCAGCACAAGACTATTGCAGATGATCCTGAAACAATAGATTTAGGTAAGTCAATAAACTAAATAGGATTACAAGTTTAAGCTTCATATATGATTTTGCTAACTTTGGTATCGAAAACTTTGTAGAGCTTGAATTGATGAAGGAGAGATTTTCAAAGTTGTTATTAGGAGAGGACATGTCAGGAGGGGGAAAAGGTGTATCAACAGCAGTGACAATCTCAAATTCCATTACAAATCTTTATGGTAAGTTTCTCAAATAGACATTCTAAATCCCAGTTTAATATGATTCTTGTTCTATTTTTTGTTTACTGATTGTTGTTTTCTTCTTCAGCATCTATGTTTGGTCAACACCAAAGATTGGAACCTTTACATCCTGACAAGAAAATAATGTGGAAGAGAGAGATGAATTGTCTCTTATCTATATGTGATTACATTGTGGAATTTGTTACTACATCACAAAAGTTTCAAGATGGAACCACTGTTGAGGTGAAAACTCTTTTTAGCAGAAGATTTACTCTCTTTTCACTTTTGCATATTTGAGAGTATTAACACAATGTCAACTACTTTTAGGCATTGACAAGCAGGCCTAGATCAGATATCTACATCAACCTTCCTGCACTGAGAAAACTCGACGCCATGCTCCTGGTAAGACCACACAACTACAATCTCCTCAAAATCAAAATGTTCATTCAAAATCAAGTTCCATTTTAGCAACATGAAGCTAAAAATGAGATCTTTTATAGGAAATCTTGGACAGTTTTGAGGCCACTGAGTTCTGGTATGCTGAGCAAGGAAGCATGTCAAGCAACTCAACACGTGCTGGATCGTTTAGGAAGATTATTCAGGTTCAGCCTCAACCTCAGCGCAAAGAAGAGAAGTGGTGGTTACCAGTTGTTTGTGTTCCTTCTGGTGGAATCTCCGAGAAGGCAAGGAAGCACTTGAGACACAAACGCGACTGTGCCAACCAAATTCACAAAGCAGCAATGGCTATCAATAGCAGCATTCTTTCTGAAATGGAAATCCCAGAATCATACATGGCATCACTCCCTAAGGTACCTTCTATTGAATAATTCTTGATTAAATGAACAACATACTCAAAACATAATACACAAACATAGGAAATTGCAGTACTAATGAGGAGGTAAATTTTGCTACAGAGTGGAAAGGCGAGTGTTGGAGACTCAATCTATCGCCACATGTATTCAGCAGAGAAGTTTTCCCCTGAACATCTCCTTGACAGTCTAAACATAAGCTCTGAACATGAAGCACTTGAACTTGCTGACAAGATTGAAGCTTCAATGTATACATGGAAACGTAAAACATGCATGCCTCAATCGAAATCATCATGGGTCATGGTAAAAGATCTTGTCTCTGAAGATCGGACTGATAAGAATCATGTCTTAGCAGAACGAGCAGAAAGTTTGTTGTTTTCTTTGAAGCAACGGTATCCTGAACTTTCACAAACAACATTGGACACAAGCAAGATCCATTTCAATAAGGTAAAAATTTCAATGAATCCATATCTTGAATACTTGACCGAACAATGTAATTGTTAGGCCTTACACTTGAATAGATAAGTGAACGAAGATATATTTACTGACTGTTGCAGGATGTTGGAAAGGCAATCTTGGAGAGCTATTCTAGAGTATTGGAAAGTTTGGCATTCAACGTTGTTGCTTGGATTGAAGATGTGCTTTTTGTAGATAAGACCATGAAAAACCAAGAAGAGTAGGGACTGCAGTAAGCAAAGCCTTTTTGATTTCTGCAAATAGGATTCAAATTTCAGCTCCTCCGGAAATACAGTTAAACTTCCTGTAACAAAGGATCATTACTGAATAGAATAGCACCAAGTCGAGAACTTGACAAAAGAAGGATCAATTTCACTACGTGATAACCAAATTGATTCTGTAATTTGAGAGAAGTATTCGAACTTGGAAATCTGTTTTTATCATGATTTTGTATATTTATATTTTATATCCGAGAGCCAAATTCTGTAGTTTTCTATTCTTTATCGGCATTCTCATTCCTTAGATCCTCTAATGAGGGCATTTTATGTCCCTTCCATCTGCATTTTGTCAGGAATAATACAACAACAACAACAACATACCCAGTATTATCCCACACATTGGGGTTTGGAAGGGTAGTGTGTACGCAGACCTTACCCCTACCTTGTGAGGATCACCACATTAATGAAAATATAGACAAGGGACAGTACCAAAAAGCCATATAAAAGCAAAATAAAAACAACAAGATAGTAAGGTGATCAACAATGAAAGAAAACAACGGTTAGTCATAAAAACCTACTACCAACAGAAAGCGAGATTGCGTGCCAATACTACTGCTATGAACACTCTACACTACCTACTCTACTACCCTAATCCTCGACATCCATACCTTCCTATCAAGGGTCATGTCCTCGGTCAGCTAAAGTTGCGTCATGTCTTGCCTAATCAACTCTCTCCACCTCTTCTTTGGCCTACTTCTACCTCTCCGTAGGCCCTCCAATGTTAACCTCTCACACCTCCTCACCAGGGCGTTTGTGCTCCTCCTCCTCAAATGTCCAAACCACCTAAACCGAGCTTCCCGAATCTTGTCCTCAATAGGGGTCACACTCACCTTATCGCGAATAACCTCATTTCTGATCCTATCTAACCTGGTGTGCCCGCACATCCATCTTAACATCCTCATCTCTGCTACCTTCATCTTTTGGACATGAGCGGTCTTGGCTGGCCAACCCTCAGGCCCATACAACATCGTTGGTCTGACCACCACTCTGTAGAACTTACCCTTTAGTTTCGGTGGCACCTTCTTGTCACACAAAACACCGGAAGCGAGTTTCCATTTCATCCATCCCGCCCCAATTTGTCAGGAATAATATGTTCGCAATACAAATGCCAACGTACTACCATCTGATATGAAATAGCGGGAAAAAAAAATAATAGCATACACTCTCAGGGAAAAAAGAAATAATAGCTCGTTTGGTATAATCACGGGATTAAAATTGAGATGAGTTAATCACATGTTTGGTTGTAATAAAATCGTGTTATAACTAATTCCGAAATTGTATTTTTTTTTTATCCCTTGGGATGGTGGAATAACTAATCCCAAGATAATTAATCTTGGGGTAACTTGTTCCAACCAAACGACCCCTCAAAGAATTCTTTAAGCCTCAGAAACTGGAATTGTTTTTGATAAATGAGCAGTCAAAAAAACATTACATATTACTTGAGCATATAGCCCAGTGAGAATTATCATTCACCAAACTACTGTCATAAGAACAGTTTCTTGATTCCCTGCTTAGTATTTAACTAGGGGAACAAAAAAGAAAAAAAAAAGCACAATTCAGGATCAATTTTCCACTGCTGAAAGCAAATGAAACAATACCACATGTGCTTCTCGGAAATGACTGACCTAAAAGGATAGTTTTTATCATCATCAATCCTAAGCCACTATAGACAGAATTTATATAAACATTGGAAAAAAGGACTACCATTTGTTCAAAGATTGGAGCTTTATAGTATATTATTTATGCTGAAAGATTAGAGCTTTTTACACATCAGTCCAAGAACCAGTTCTGAGCCTCATTGGTCTCAATGGCCTAATTCTTGATGAAGACTTGAAAGCTTCAACCAATGACTTGCATTTATCATTGTCCCCTTTGTTTTCCTCCAAACATTTCTTCAATGCTTCAACATCAGCCACAGCCACCTTCTTCTCTGCAATCCCACTCTCCCTTTTCTCATCATCATTATCCATTTCTTCAAAATTCAACCAACAAAATCCAAAAAAGAATCACTAGAAATTTTAGATTGAACTCTATATACTAATTGATCATGGAAATTTGAGAGTCAACAAGTTGTACAGTGATGAATTGTGTGATTAAACTGCAAAAGAGGAGCATAGGATTTTTGTGGCAGCTTCTGTTTTGGTTGTTTTTTGGGAGTTTGGGAATCTATTAAAAGTGGGACCCTGCACAGAGGTGATTGACATGGATCTGATCACTTGCTGACTTATTCAGTCACAAGTGTACTTTGAGGTGAATTTTTTTCTTGTTTTCTTTTTCTCATAAATTTACAGTATATTTAAGTATGCTATCATTATAATTTAACAAATCAATCTATAGTGTAAAAAATTTTACACTGATATATTACTTAAATAATTCCTCTGTTTCAATTTATGTGAATCTATTTTCTTTTTAGTTCGTGCCAAAAATAATATATAACCTCTTTCCATATTTGAAAATAATTTACTTTTATGCAATAATTTATAGCCATACAAAATATGTGTGCCTCATTTTATACCACAAGTTCAAAAGTCTTCTCTTATTTCTTAAATTCCGTGTCCAGTCAAATAGGTTCGCATAAATTAAAACGGAGGGAGTATTAGTTAAGTTAATGTACTTTTTAAAGAAATATTGCAAAGATATATATATATA